TCTCGAAAAGGTTGAAGCGATACTTGGCTGGAAGAAGTTGACATCAGTTAAGGAAATCCAGATTTTTCTAGGGATGACAGGTTATTATCGCAGGTTTGTTGAAGGATTCTCCAGCCTAGCAGCTCCTCTAACCCGACTCACAAAGAAGAATGTCAAATTTGAGTGGAATGAGGACTGCGAAAGAAGTTTTTTAGAATTAAAGAAGTGGCTGACTACTGCACCCATACTGGCTTTACCAAGTGGATCGGGGGGATATACAGTTTATAGTGATGCCTCCTATCTAGGCCTGAGTTGTGTCCTGATGTAGCATGGAAAAGTCATGACATATGGGTCCAGACAGTTAAAGAATCATGAAAAAAATTATCACACCCATGACTTGGAGCTTGCCGCAATCATACACGCCTTGAAAACCTAGCGCCACTACTTATACGGAGAGACCTTTCAGATCTATACCGATCATAAGAGTTTGAAACACATATTCACTCAGAAGGATCTCAACATGCATAAGAGAATGTGGATGGAACTCCTTAAAGACTATGATTGTGATATCTTATACTATCCGGGTAAGGGCAACGTGGTAGCAGATGCTCTCAGCAGGACAAGTGCAGGTATCTTAGCCCATTTGATGGTTTTCGAATGTAGGCAAATTAGGGTCACGCAACAGGTTCAACTTCAGGACTTGAGGAGAGTCACATGTTTGGGCCGCCTGACAGTCTAGCCCAAGTTAATTCAAAGAATAAGGGAAGCCCAGTCAGTCGACCCCGCCCTAGTAGCCCGTAAGAAGGATGCAGAATAGGGAGTGAGCTCAGAATTCCGAATATATGCCAATGGATTACTCCATTTCTAAGACAGGGTGTGTGTCCCAGATGATAGTGAGTTAAAGAGAGACATCATGACAGAGTCCCATAGCTCGAAGTTTGCCATGCATCCAGGAAGCACCAAAATGTACCAAGGCATGCGACCCCAGTTTTAGTGGAATAGGATGAAGAGAGACATAGCCGACTTTGTATCCAAGTGCTTGGTATGTCAGCAAGTCAAGGCAGAGCATCAGCACCCAGGTGGGCTACTTCAGCCGTTACCGATTCCGGAGTGGAAGTGGGAACACATCACCATGGACTTCGTAATGGGATTACCCAAGGCACGTTCAGGACATGACACCATCTAGATAATCATTGACCGGCTTACCAAATCTTTCCACTTCTTGACCATCAAAATGACCGACCCCTTGGACAAGTTAGCAAGAATGTGTATCCGGAAAATAGTCAGATTGCACGGAGTTCCAATGACAGTGGTATCCGACAGGGACCCCAGGTTCACTTCTCGGTTTTGGAGTAGCTTTCAGCAAGCCATGAGAACAAAGTTGTCTCTTAGTATTGCCTTCCATCCTCAGACTGATGGACAATCAGAAAGGACAATTCGTACACTTGAGGATATACTCCGAGCATGTGTCCTTGACTCTGGGGGTCATTGGGACGACCATCTACCCCTGATAGAGTTTGCCTACAACGACAGCTACCAAGCAAGCATCGGCATGACTCCATATGAGGCGTTATATAGGCGCCCGTGCAGATAATCGATTTGTTGGGAAGAAGTGGGCGATAGAAGATTGTTCAACCCGGAGTTATGCGGACACCCGAAGGAGAGATCTAGCATTTGGGAAAGGCGACCGGGTATTCTTTAAGGTCACTCATTTCACGGGAATTACTAGGTTCGGCAGGAGAGAAAAATTAAACCCCCGATTTATTGGACCTTTTGAAATCTTAGACAGGATTGGTACTGCTGCCTACAAACTAGCACTGCCTCCAGAGCTCTCCAAGGTCCACAATGTGTTCCACGTATCCATGCTACGTAAGTACAACCCGGACTCCTCTCATGCCTTGGCTCATGAACCACTTCCACTCCAAGAGGACTTATCTTATGAAGAAGTACCAGTTGGTATCACGGACCGAAAGAGCAGGATACTCCGCAACCGAAAAATATCATTTGTAAAGGGCGTGTGGCAGAACCACACGCCAAGGGAGGCTACCTGGGAGCTAGAATCAGATTTTAGAGCCCAGTATCCCCATTTGTTCGACCAAGAGTAAGAGACAAATTTGGGGGACCAAATTTCTTTAAGGAGGGAAGAGTTGTAACACCCAAATTTTTATTTTTTAATTTATATTAGAATTTTAGTTTAATTTTTCAATATTTAATTTATAAGGTTTTAATTTAATTTAATTTAATTTAATAAAAATAAAAATAATAATAATAATAATGATAAAATAGGGTAAAATTATTTTTGGGATTTAATTGGAATTGATTTTGAAAAAAATGGGTGAAAATTTGGATTCTGTGGGTATTTTTTAAAAGAAAATTAGAAACTGGGGGTTAAAACAGCAGAATCGCCGTGCTGGAATTCCGATATTGGCCAAAAAGGGGCCCTGGGTCTGATTTGGGGTTTTTTGGGACACGTGCAGGTACCGGTAGTGCGTTTCAATTTTTCGGAGAAAATTCAGGGAATTTAGGGACAGCCTGTAGGCGCATTATAGAACCGATTTCAGACCTCGAAACAAGTAAGGATTTATCACCTTATTTCTTATCACGGTATTAAAGCTCAATAAATAATAAAACAACATTTCGTGAATTAGTAGATATATATAATTAATTAAGGTTGCTAATGGAGCCCGAGTCTGATATATTTTCAGTCAATTGCTGTTTTAGTTATTTTACAGTTTTAAATGCATTATGGTATCTAATCTATTTATTTTATGGTTTTGAATGCATGAATCACTGTTTACTTCATTATGGCTTGATTTTGTGAATCTGATGATATGTCTGCCTTATTGGATGCTTGTTACTGGTTTAAATATTCATGATTATGTGAAAAACAGAAAACTAAGAAACAAATAGAAAATGTATGTAAATTGATAAATGGATGACGTGGACAGCCTGACTAGATATCCTGAGAGATGGTGGACGGACCGGATCCGTAGGGAACCCTACCAGGAACGTGGTCTCTCATATCGGACGGGGTATGGAGACCTTATGTATTTTGGCGCCCATACCGAACGGGGTATGGGGACGACCTGTTTCACCCTCATACCGGACGGGGTATTGAGGTTTGTGGTTTTGGCGCCCATACCAGACGGGGTATGGGGACGACCCTGGAATCAAGTTATTAATGTTAATGGTTCACGTGTAGCGGGGACCTCCTATGGATCCCCATGGATACTAGTAGGCTGGTAAAATAGGAAATTTGTTGTCTGATTATTGAAGTGCAAAAGTATAACATGTGTTATGTTACAAAGTGTATATGATTTTATGATGGTTATAATGTTATTATTTTCATATGTTATTTTCACGAGTCTCACCGAGGTAAGTGGAAAGTAAAGGTTTTTATAATTAATAAATGAGTTTGTTATAAATTATGCTCCATTGATCGTTTTTGTTTTTATTTCTGTGGCAGTGAGATAGTGTGATGTCTTTACTAGGCTAGTGTAGCTCATTCTTTACTTAACCATTTCAAATTAGGAAGACATGGTTTCTGAGCCCGTTCCACAAGAAGACGACGAGTTAGATGCCTAAAGATTTTATAGTTCTATTTATAGTTTTTATTTCGAGTATTTCTTTTAATTAGCTTATTCTTTCATACGTTGAATACGTTTATAGTTATTTTGTAAGGGATGTTAATCAGAATTTTTATTTTGCTTCTGCATTTAAAATTTTTAATACATATATTTTCATTTAAATTTCCAGGGCCATTACAAAGTCAAAAAGAATATGACCATCCATGTCACCTATATATATAGTGGGAATTACAAAAGTGAAGAGAAGAGTTGAAAAAAATTACCCGCACAAAAAAAAAATGGAAAATCTTTTCTATTAAAATTTTTTTGAAAAAATTTTAACACATATTATTCAATTTGTTCGTAGAATACGCATAGAATGTTTCAAACAATTTTAATTTAAAAATTCACTGTAAAATATATTTTAGATTTAATTTTTGACTTGTAATATAATTTTTTAAACACAAATAGATTATATTATATTATTTTATATCTTTCACTACGTGTTATGCACATATTACAATCTTACACTTACATCTAATCTTAAGATTAATTTAAGTTAATAAAACATGATTTACTTATAATTAACTAATTTAATACCTCCAACTCAAATAGCATAATACTTTTATAAGAGAGTTTACAATGTGGATTCCAATCCTACCTTTACCTCTGTAAAAAAAAAAAAAATTAAATCAAGAAACTGTGTTGCTGTGGTTCAAATAGATTACAAATAATATGAAATTTATTTACATATTGTAATATCTAAGCTGTACTAAGATGATAAAAGAATTGGGTATATATAGAATTGAAATAATACATTTTATGTAGAATTTCTGTAAAGTATATTTTTATCACAATAGTATTACTTGGATTGTTGATTTTGTTTCAAACCATGAAAATTCTAAAATTTAGTAGAAATTCACTTAAGAAATAAAAATGATAGAAAATCGTAAAACTTTTAAATTAATTCAAGATTAAAAAAAAAATAGAGTATGAAAAATAGGGTAATAATCAACTGTAAGGAATTAGATGCATAAATATTTTGACTCGATTTGTATGAGTATTGTCGGGTTTAATTTCGACTTGAAACTTGAATATAAATTAATTTTTGATTTGAGTTTGGTTAACTGAAAGAGAGAAAATGTAGATGGCTTTAAGTATAAATTTGTATTAAAAGCCAAAGTTATTTTTTAAAATTACAACATATAAACTTTTGTCTCCAAATTTATCAAAAGTAAATCTTATTTTTAAATTTTACTAAAGGTACTTTTTTATTTTACCTATTTTCTTAAAAAAAATATGGTCAAAATGCAAAAGCCAAAGAGAAAAATTGCTTCAAATGGGGGCTAAATTTAATGTTGCTCCTAGGCAAAAAGATGGGGATAAAAATACTAACTAATCATCATAAATGATATTGGTGCATAAAAAGAACTACATGTTTGAGAAGTGCAACTAAAAGATACGAGAAATGATTTTTATGCCAATCTCTTTCAAGATGGGATCATGTTTCATTTGTTTTGACCGAGCAAATTTGACAGCGATAATTACATTTCTTTATGCTCATATGAACAAAATATTTTAGAGAAATTAGAATAAATACTATAGGAGAGTCACCTAGCTTGCGAGCAACATCAATTAAATAAAATCAAATCTTAACAAGAACCTTAACGCAGTCAGGATGCTTCAGTAACTCAAATCCTTTAGTTATATCTTCTAACGAAATTTCATGACTCAAAAGTTCATCTAATTGTATTTCCTGTAAAATATCATTATTTAATAAGTGATGGTCATGAAGCGTATTGACAAGATATAAATAAAGATAAAATTAATAAAATTAAAATTTTAAATTAACTTTTATTTATATAAACAAACCTTATTTATGTATTTATCGAGTAAAATGGGAAGGTCAGATTTGATGCCGAGTCCTCCAAAAAGAGACCCTTTTAAAGTTTTACCAGATACAAGGGATTCGAAGCTTATATTCATATTTGTATCAATTCCTGTTCCTATTAATATTGTCCTTCCTACTCCCTGACCACAATTACAATTACACCAAGTTAAATCAGTTGTGAGTATTTTAATTTCATAAAAAATATAAATGTGCAAATATTTTCAAAGTCAGATAGATGGTTTCCTTTTTATTTTCAATAAGTATACATTTTTTTTATGAATTATATACATATATATAATAAACATTTAAAATACTTACAGGTTTTGTAGCCTCTATTGCTTGAGTGACCAATGAGGTAACCCCAGTGCATTGGAAGCTACAATCAACACCAATTCCACCAGTTAATTCCTTAACTAAATCTGAAATTGATTTACCTGATTCATCTGGGTTAATGAAGTGTGTCATTCCAAAAACTTGTCCCTTCTCTTTCTTCATAGGATTCTTGTCTACACCAATTATTGTAGTTGCACCTTGCATTTTAGCCCCTTGTATTACCTGCAATTGCAAACTCTGCAACATTAATTTCTACAACTTGTGTTAGTTTCAATATCTTTCATATCTTGACAACGAAAAAGAAAAAGACAAAGGATAATATCGAAAAACCTCTTCGACTTTTCTATTTATAGTTTTAACATTCTAAGCAACATGAAATTTAAATAAATCAAATAGTATTATTATTATTAAAAAAATATTATGAAATATTTTATAAAAGAATTTAATAGAAAAAAATTATAATTTTATTTTTTTAATAAAAATGTGTCATTTTCTTATTTTCCTATAATGGTACATTTCCAAGAAAGTTAAATTAAATGCTTTCATGCACAAAATGAGTAATTTACATAAGGTTACCACAAGGTGCATGCATGGTGCAATCTAATAAAATGTTTAACTGTAAGAAAACTTTTTAGTAATAACCGAAAAACTTCATGTAGTTCTCGCTATAATTATACCCAAATTACCTTTATATGTACTTATTTATAGTTTAAAAGAAAAAAAAAAAGATTGCTTATATATACCCCTAATCCAACAGCACCAAGGCCTATTACAAGTACACTTGAACCTCTTTCAATGTTACCATCCTTCCAAGCTGCACCATACCCAGTTGAAAATCCACAGGAGAGAAAACTAGCATGAGAAAGAGGAATATCTGGACTGATCTTGATCGCATAGTTGACATTTATAAGCATATATTCAGTCCATGTGGAGCATGAAAATGAATGGAATAAATTTTGGCCTTCAATCGACATTCTTGAAGTTCCATCGAGCATTAAACCACTTAAGGGTAATGGATATCGTAGGCAAAAATTGGATTTTCTTGAACTGCAATTCTCACACTTTTGGCATTCTCCAATATATGATGGAATCACTAAGTCTCCTTCTTTTAGTTCTGTCACATCTTCCCCGACGCTCTCTACTTCCCTGGAATTGTATTTTTTTTTTTTCATAATTACAATTATTGACTAGTTATACCGCATATATATATATATATATATATATAACTATCTTATAAGATGAATTTTTTTCACATAAATTAAAATGATTAGGGTAATTGCATATCCTTGTTGTGAGTGCTTCATGGGTTTAAAATATCAGTATCAAAGTGTTATTGACATGTAATCGAATAGGATAACTCGCATATGGTGTTTAATCTTAAATTTGGTGGTTGATTGATGACCTTTTAACTGTGTAATACACCAGTTTTCTAAGTTTTCTTTTATTTGCACATGATGTGTAGTAGTCACCTAACTATTTGGTCTCCTTGCTTGAGTAAGATGGATTTCATCGTGTTTAGGTTAAGGATGATATGTTCTTTTCCTAAAAAATACATACACCCACAATAGTTTGGGTAGTTCCATGCTTAAATGTTAGCCTATTCAAGTATGATCCAGCTTAAGAAGTTGATAAGAGTAAAGAAGTGTTGAAAGAAGGAGAATTACTATTGAATTTATAAGTTGTGGTTTATTTATTCCTCTTCAATCTTTGTTCTTAATATGTTTGTATGTTATAAATTAAAAGACTAATTTTTGTGGCTGCTAATTTTAGTAAAACTTTGTTTTTCATTGTCAAAAATGCACAACTTTATTAAATTGCATTATATAAGACTACTTCTAACAAAATTTTATGATTTTTAATTACAGCTAGTTAAGATAATTGACGTATATTAATTAAAACGGAACCATCTTTAACTCTTTGTAGATAATTCTATAATATGAAGATGAAATAACTTTTCTGTTCTTTAATTTTAATGGAACTACAGTTAGGGTTTCGATCATTTTTCTATATGATTGCTTTATTTAAAAGAATTTTAGTTAGAGTATTAGTTTGGATTTCCAGATTCTTTTAATTTTGGAAAAGAGAAAAACAATGAATTATTTCCTTTTAAAAAAAGTGCAAATGTAATACTCGGAATCTGATTCGAAATTAATTTTAAAATTAAAAAATCTATAAAAATCTAATTTTGAAATTAATAAAATTTAATTTAATGTAAAATTATGGATAAATAAATAAATTGATGATGAAATTGAAAATAATTTTGGGAAAAAGTGAGAAAAATTTGAGTTCGAATGTTGTTTTTGAAAAAAAAAATTGAAAATTGGGGGTCAGAACGTAATTAAGAAAAATTATGCCACGTAAGACTGCCCAGTCAGCAGTTTCGACAAACTGAAGCATACCGCGTGGCTAGAATCGCTGACTCGGTGGCATGTGGGAGGCCACTCTGACGATCTGCGTGCCCCACGATCGGACAGTCCGAAAACGTTCCTGCGTGCGTGGACGGTCCGGATCCATTTTTTCCTCAGGTGCGATCAAACGGTCGCAATTAACTATGATAAATGGTTCAAATTTATTTTTTTTTAAACGCGATCCGAACG